CCTGGTCTGGAAGAAATCGAGAGCAGTTGATCAGCGCACGGACACGGCCAAGGCAAACTTTTCCCCCTTTCTTTTACCCATCTCTTTCCGTGTATAATACTCTGTGCACATAAAATAATATAATACATTACGATGTGTACCTAAGTCGCCGCATTATTATCGAGATTGCACCATTGCACGAGACGTAATGAGGAAAGTAATATTTACTCGATCATAATATTAATGAATTTTGCAGTTTAGGTTAGCCAAATAATAATCTTAGTGTACTGCAGAGTGTTACACATATTGCTATAAGTCTGCTACTAATATACCTATGTATGCCTAGACATATGTATATCTACCAGATATCACGTGTCGTAATACTCATCGATCCCCCCCCCGTATATCACACAGAACATGTATATACATATAATGATTTAAAATGATATGCGTTATTATATATTATTATACTGTCATATCATTGAATGTCGCGGCGCCTGCGAATCACACGCGTTTCGCTATGGTGTGATATCTGCAGGACAAGAGAACGACGAGCGAATAAGAAGGAGCAGAGGACATCGCGTGGTCGATTCGTCACGCCTCACGCTGCCCCCTTCGCACCTCCCGCGCAATAGTATTGCAGCGTATGAATAGAAAAAGACGCGACGAATGCGTTGAAAAACTCGACGACGATATAGTACCCAAACGTAATCGACCTCCACTGGAACACCGTCACCGCCTCGTCCGATGGTAATGAACCGCCGCTGACCAGTGTGTTATTATTGCCTATATATATATATATATATATGCACGTCTTATCTATACATGTGGGTGTGTGCGAAGTCGGTTCACGTACTGCTATAATGATGCTATGATATGACATATACTGCACACTCCGACAAACAGCCGGTCGGTTTTTTCGTTGATAYATACATGACAATAAGGTAATGATGATAATATTTTTTATATAATATTATTATTATAAATTGCACCAAAAGTATTGTATACTTTGCTCGGACGTTTTGTGTACATAATAATATATATCACCCATGATGCATATTATATAAATAACGTAATGATAAATAATAGGTGGAGCCATAAATAATATTATATAGCTTACATATAATATATAGCATGTATATTGTATATTGTATACTGCGCGACAAAGAAGTATAAATACTATAATAGCGGGCGATTATTGTTTACACCAATATTTTATACGGTGACTCGCACTTTTCGGAGAGGACTTTATAACTATAGATGAAGAGCATTAGACGACGCGTTTTAAGTAAACGCAATAATATCTTAATAACAATAATATCATGACAATAACTAACATGCACAATATCGCACGAGTACGTGATTTAATCATTACAGCGAATCGACAACGAGACTAAATCTAACGTATTCAAAGAAGATCGAAGCAAGATGATAGAGTCGTGGACCAAATTATCAATTAATATTATGTACCCGTATGTGCTTTAAATATTTCGTTCACATGCATTTTTTTTTCAAACTTGTAAATGTGTGTTCTGAAATCTGATAAACTGTTAAACTCGTTGACGTTTCTGATRAAATGCATTACATTACAACGATTCATGCAAAATATTTTAAGTAGGTATATTATGATACATGAAAGACTTATTATGGTTAAAAGTGATTAATATAATGATATGCGTGATTATTTCTGGATCAGGTTCGTCTCTTTGAGCAGTTGAAGAAGAATCGATGTTGTCTCTGGATTGGGTTAGGTAACCTAGCCTTCACATGGGTTTGGGGATCATTAGMTGTTCGTGGGGTCATTCGTCAGGAGGCATTCGGTTAACAGACGCAGTTATGATGTTGCATGAAATGCATTTCCGTTGTTCATTTTAGGTTTATAATATTTATTAGGAGTTTTATGTTGAGATGAGTGGTAATTTGATGATAATTTTTATTTATGTAAAGCAYGCAATAATTATTCTTAACACATCCCCATTTTGTCATCGCCAATTGAGCACGTATATCGTATAAAATAAAATATAATATTTATAAAAACTTTGATCGAATGGAATATAGTGAGTAATTGAGAGAGGGAAATGGGGGCTAAAAATATAATATTTACGAAGCGTAAACGGTATTTTTTTGTCGGAAAAATCTATAGTGTATCATACTATAAATTTATTTCTATTTTTTTGTTTTTAAAATTTTATTGTTCTTTTCGCCGTTAAATAGGATTATGCGAYGGCCGTTTTACTCGGAATTAACATATTATAATATCKATTGAACAACSGCCCGCCCGCACAAAAATCGTTCGAGTGGAATGGTCTAGTTTGTTTTTTAGCGGACAGGTCACGCGCGTAGGATTTACAACTATTTAGGACCGTACACGACGAAGRAAACTTATAACCGCTATATTCATTGGAATGTACAGCTAATACAGCAACAGCCACATCATTGACTAAGACATAGCGGCGTCAGCGTGGCTTAGGATTTTCAGTTTTTTTTTTATTATTAATTAGCTTTCGATTCGGAGCATCGAACCGGTCTACGTCCTAGAATGTTTGGACAGACGGTGGCGCCCGCGCGTCCTTGGCTGGTCTTGGTGCCGGATGTGCGTGGAAGCTCTGCGGGAATATCCGCAAATGATAATTTACGATAATTATTTTACATTACAATATTATTATATGCCATAAACGTATATATTTACTACGCTATAACGTTATAACATTTTGGTTTCTACATAATATTCTTCGATAAAACGTGATTTTTTGATGACATTTCATTAAAATAAATGTCATTGTGTAACATAGAAATTCCTTCAAAACAAAATATGTATTAAATAGGTATTTAAGCAGTTTTCTTTCACTATTTTATTATACTATTATATATATATATTTGATAGTTATGCTAAGAGTTTTATTGTTAAAACAAAGGAGTGACATTTACATTTAAGTACCATAATAAAATTTTAGGCGCAATATTTTATGCAGTTGCATAACAACAACAGGATATTTTAGATGGATTCGTGATGAAAAACCCGATAGCTCTAAGTATTGGAACACTAAATTCGATTTCCAGCTCTATAAAAAAAAATAGTTTTCATTATTCATACCTAATAAGTATAATATAATAATTTATGCATCAAAACCATCGTATCAAAATACATTTTTATTTGTCGACTTCAACAGTCAATAATAATAAATATTGCAGTAGGTRTTGTGTAACTATGCTATCCAAGTGATTTTATGAACGCTTTGAAAAAGRCAGTCGATCGTATGGTTGCSGATGATTCATATCATCGTTTAACCATTGGGAACAAATATTTAGCTTAATTACAGAATATTGTACCTGCATTTGTTCTCTCGTTGGTTTTGTTTATTATATTAATTTAACTTTTAAGTGAATTATGAGATTATGACCATTTTTAAATATTAATATTTTGAATATTCATAACCCAGACTTGAGATTTTTTTTTTTTCCTTATTTGTAATACACAATCTGTACACAATCGGCACAATAAGAGTATGAGCTAAGACAATAAAAAAGACTTGAGATTTAAATTTAAAACATTGAAACATCTTAAAGCTCCAACGGAAGGATACAGATGATATTATGTTCTTGTGTCTTTAAGTTAGATAATGGTATGTCAATTAACGATAACCACAAAAAATCGAAAATACCGAATAAAGATTATGGTGTGTTATGCACTTATGCTTTAGTATGATGGAGATATAACATGCAAGTACGACATGTTCTTAATGTAACGTATTYGAGTCTACCTTGTAACGCCTTTTAATAGAGTAGATCGGAATAACTTCTACAGCATACTTATAACATTGCTGCAATGTTCCAATAGTTTTGGCCCTTGTGATGAGATCCATAGTCAGATCAACTATCYKWGATTAATGAACMYTTTTATACCTATTAATTTRACCAGTGACCACATACTTGTACAGTATTATTATTTATTATACATAGATTACAAGAGAGAATACTACGGTACTGTCCTTGATCAACGTTACCCAATTGACTCATACTTATACACTCATACGTCAAACATCAAACAACAATAATAATATGATTGGTCATCTTTGTCATGATCGATAACAAGGTCTAACCCATAATATGATATACATATAGGTTAGGTATTTATATAGGTACTTATAGTTATTTGTACTCGCATACATAATATTATATACTTAAACAATCTACTACAAACACAAACAGTATACATACTACAATACTCGTGTGTATGAAATGTGTGTGATTCTTAAATACTATAATTATATATAAAACCTAATATATTTTGTAAACACTTAATTTTGTTTATCTTCATATTCACCTATAATTCAAAAAATCAATATTGCACGTAAAATGTCAATAAAAAAAGGTGAGAATGGTGCATGTATTATGCTGTGGATGCTGTGGTAGTTAGTCTTAAGACAGCGTTACCTATAACGGCTAACTATGAATTATGATACCTAATTGTTTCATTTTAAAAGTCGACTTCTGTACAGTATTTGAGGTTAATCACCGAGTTAAAAAATAATTGAAAAAAAAGCAAACACGTGATATACACTTGTACAACATTTCGAAATTATATAGGACCTATTGTATACCAGCTACTATTTATTATGTGGATACCCGCCTCTTACATTCTTTTTTATCGGCATTGCAGTGGCTACAACTTTTGTTGCGATTATTATTACTTCRAAAGAATTGCAGTGTTTATCGCATTAAAACCTTGTAACTGGCGTTTCATGCGCGTGTTGTAATCCACCGGCAGATTCGAACTAAGACAAATTCGCTCAGACCTCTCATGTAACAGCTACTACTATATAATATGCAATAATAATATTACAAGTATGTAGTGAGAAAAATAATAATATAACAGGACACACAACCTTTGTGTACGATAATCCATATCCAACTGTTCCAACTGCAAAAATTTAGTATATATTATTATTACATTGTAATATAGTGTTTATATGGTTTTTTTTGTTTTTTTCTAACGCATATTGGTATTGTTTTTGTTACAGCCGGTAGACGTCGAGGTCTCCAAGCTAATGATCAATGAAGTAAGTGCAGACATGACGTGATGAAAACGTGTGCAATTATTATTTACATTAAGTACAAGTTAATACGCATATTAGAACTCACTCGGAGAACAATAATATAATAATATGTGGATTGTGTCTGGGTTGTTATATATATATATATTCTAAAATCTGAATAAAATTCATGGTGTTATAACGATAATTCATGTATATAGTATTAACAAGTACACACTACATAATATACTAGTTTGGTATATTCACACCAGATTTTACACCTATATAATGTTATACGTATTTTGCACACGTATCAAGTATTTTCTGTATGTCTGAAGTAATGAAGTATATAATATATTATAATACAAAACGTGTATTGGAGAGTTATGAAATCTATATAATAATTATAAGTTATATCGTTGTGTATAATTTGTTATACAGATGATTCTTAACTATGGCTCCTCAGTCCTCATAAATTTAACGCACCTATACTGCAGATATCGTTTGTATATAAACAAATACAATTTTAGACTTTTTCAGATAATATCTTAATCATACTAATATTACAATTAAACACAATGGCTATATACTTCTAACGTATTAATTCGTTCAAAGAACACCGAAAACACTTTGAAATTTTCTTGAAATCGTTGTATTCTCCTTATAGTCCCAATAGCTGCGCTACTAACATACAAAACTTGTGGGGTGATGGGGGCTGAATCGATATACCAGATACCTATTATACCTTGGTTGTAAACGGGGAAACAAAAATAATTCACTGCGCTGTACAATATAAGCYGGTGGTAACAATTTTACAGTCACTACGGTATACCTACTTATAATCACCCCGCCCTATATATGTAGTGTATAGGTCATACAACAATTGTCTATTTGTCTTGTAACGTGCACACATAATAATATAATATTATTATCATTATATTGTACCTGCACATAAAAAGCAACCGCCCACTCTGTCACCACTCGCCGGTATATTACAATACTTTAATTATTTACAGTTTCGCAATGCTCTTCGTGTTCATGCGACAAATTCATTATACGTATATATCTCATACTATAATATACACTGGCCGCACATTGTTGCGGAGAATTTTGGTTTGATGGCAATGATTCTTGTACATGAGCGGTCCTCGCCGTCGTCGTCGTCGCAACTAAAAGGTCTTTTAGATTATGGCATCTGTCACGATTCTTCGCAAAGACTAAAAGAGGAAAATATTTTATACAACAATTTCACAGTCCATAATCACGTCCTCATACAGAGGCGTAGATAGATAAATAAATCGAGGGCGGGGATGAGTGAGAGAAAACCAAAACCGTCACCGATATCCACGACGAGTATATAATATTAAAATGACGGTAGCGCAAAAAATAAGTATCTCTGGTCTGTAATCCTGCAGTAGATAAATATAAGCAAGCTTGTCGTGTAAAATATGTGCATAATATATATAGGTGTATACGGCGTATGATATATAATAATATTATATTGTACGGTTCGCGCACAAAATTGCTGTAACGACTGACCTTAAACGATTTAAACGCGCGTGTATTTCAACGCTGCGGGTTTGTTTTTTCTCTCTTCTATTCCCAAGTCCATCGTCGCTGTATATTTTTATTTTTTAGTCTAATCCTAATTGTTTTTATCATTATTATTGTTGTTGTTGATCGTCGGAGCGAGGTGCTTGACCGAAAACGTATGCGTGTACACATACACACACATTTCACACGTAGGTTTAAGCGATGACAACAAACTGCTCGTCCTCAATTATTATCCGCGTGTAAACGACGATGACGGCTATATAATATGTATATTATGCGTGTATATACGACCACGTCGATTGTCAATACAGCTCAGCGATGTATATACGACTTTACGATGGTAATGATTACCCTATGCGCGCACATGTATTGGTCGACAATACGTAAAATAATAATAATCATAATAATATACCGTTTGATGAAAATTAATATATTCATATATATTCATCGTGTGACGTTGTCATGATAATTTTACAATATTATTCTGCTGAACATGCGTAGGCGCAAACGAAGACGATCCGGGTTTCTTTTACACAAATTACTTATACCAGTTATACCTTATACCTGTGTATGTATTTTAATACGTCGTCGCATATTATGACGAGAGTCGCAATAAGCTACCGATGTGACTGATGCATTTCCAGCCTTCCAGGTCATAACTAAATAAAAAATGTATATTGTATGTATGTATTAGGTTAATTAATAATAATAATTGTGACTTYAAAGTCTTCTCTCTAGAATAAAAGAAACTAATGAATTATCTGCAGTATTAATAATAAAATATAACATATCATAATATAAAAAATATCTGACGCAAATTCTGTGAAACCAATTTTTTTTTCTAGTTATTTTTTAATTTTACATTTTACATTTTTGTGGATCTATAGTGCGGCAATAAATATCGAATACTTCAGTCCCCTAATTTTATTAATGATAATGATATATAATATATATTCAATWTTTCATTGTCCTAATGTGAAGAGAATTTCTTATAACGTAACTTTTTTTTATAGTCGCTAATATAAGATTGTCTTATTTTATTTATGATTTTGTTTCGTTGTCGCAATATTATAATAATATTAATAATAATACAAGTACTAATCGTCGTCGATAGCTCAATTTATATGCGAGAGCGATCTACTGTGGGCAGTAATATTATAAATTACAATACGTACATAATATACGTATTAATTGTTAATATAATAGAGACGTAATAGAGTGATGGTAATTGAATCTGTCTGTTATCAACGGGGATGTCATAAAAATATAATACGTTCATCAAACTCTAAAAGCATTTTAAATTTCAATTAATCCTGAAATTCCGGTAAAAACCCCTTAGCCCCACTACAAAGGCACCAACAAAATATAGCTGAGGGGGGGAGAGCTAAAGTCAATACCTAGTTTCTGATAATAATACAGCTCGTATTATTATTATTATTATTTTGTAGAGAGATATAAATAATTGATATCAACTAAAATAGAGAGGGGCGTGTCCCTCCCGGCAACCCCTGCAGGCTCTCTTGCACCTTGGTCTCATCAGCACCCCCTGGCTACGCCACTGATGTTATAACAAATACGCATATATACGAGCTGACTATTATCGGCAGTATAACGTCATTAAAATTACGATTCGTGCATTGTAATAACCTACACACAGGTCGTTTCGAGCAAATATCAATTTCGTTATATAATTGATGTCGCTCTCGCCACTGCTATGATTCGCGACGCTGATCACAGAGTCCTGATGACCCGGTGCAGAGGAGACTTTTCTATGGAAACGTTGAGTCGTGATCTTCTGCTGCAGTGCAGTCGTCGTTTCTCTTACGATCTTCTTCCGCTTCTATATAATATCATTATCATAACACTCAGACGTAAACCGTATACAATTTATATGTGTATACTCACAGACCCAACTGCGACTCAMATTTTACGTACTTCCACCATACACGTTTCACGGTCTTGCATTTAAGAGTTAAGACACGCCAAGTTGTTTTCGCTTAAGATAGGAAAATAACAATTGGATACAAAGTYGTCGAAGTTTTTTACGGCAATCTGAGATAATATATTTATTATACATTCCGAAGTTCCGTACCGCCTGTTGTAAATATTTAGATACATAGTTGGTATATTTTTGTAATAATATAATTCGGTGAAACGATGGTCCCTCATTTTGTAAAAATTGAAATTATTTACAAACGTAAATATTTGTCTTAATTGAAAACCATTGCMTGTTTTAAAAATAAAAAATAAAWAAATAATTAAATACTAATTAATATTGTGAACATAGTTAGCTATACATTGTAACATACATATTATATATTATTGAAAATTTTGATTTTAGTAAATAGTAATTAGTAATTACCTATGTTATTTAAAAAAAAAAAAATCAAAAATTCTACTTGATAATTATTATTCTTTTTCACCAAGTCACAGGCATATACAGACATATGTTGTTGCTGAGATCAATTGCRAGGCAATCGAGTGGAAACACTAAACGGTGTAATATTATATAGTCTGCTGCAGTTGCTTGTAATCTGTTGATTAAAGCTGATATACACATAATAATATMTATAATCTGAGTATTATATTATCGTCCGTGAAGTGATGACAATTACTCATACAGATCGAGTTTTTCGCAACGCTAATTATTTTTTTTTTTTAGTTTATTAAGTCTTCAACAACACAGGTTTTTAGCCTACTTTAAACAAATGTTAAACAATAAGAGAATATATGTATACATTATAATTTAGTATGAATTTTACAACATTATTATTATTATTATTATTATTATTATTTATAATGGATATTTAGTGTTCATATTATGGAAAAATGTACCGATTACAGCTGTGTTCTCATCTTTGAAGCCTCGGTGGAGAAAAACAGGATTTTGAAGTATCTTGCGCGCTTCAGTGTATTTGGGGCAGGTGATGACAATGTGCTCAATCGTTAATGTTGTGTTGCATGTATCACATATTGGTGCTGGTTCTTTTTTATTAGATATACGCATAGATTAAGCGGGAATGACCTATTTTGGCTCKAGTGACGGTTACTTCTTCTCTTCGCTTAACCAATTATAGTTAAAGTTTTATAAAAAGATATTCTTTTTCCAATATATTTAATTCGAATTTCCCAAACAAAATATTTACGCGTAATTCTGGTCTATGCGTATCAAGATGCAATYATAATRCCTATGTTACCACTTTAAAAATAGCGTATCAGCTGCAGTATCCACAGAGCATATAGCGATATCTCGAGCTCCCGAGTAGATGATTTACACACGTGTGAAATATATTAGGATGAAGAAAAACAACCTGGTGAAACGTCAATATAATATTATCTATGATAGAATATAATATAGTTCCTAAACATTTATGTCAACATTCTGTTACTTATAGATTTAATTGATGACTGAATAAATTATAAGATATTATCGCACAATTTTTGAAATGATTTAAAATTAGTTCAAGTCACAC